GTTTCAGATAACAATCATTATAATAGTTTTATACATAAATATCATAGGTGTGGTAGTGGTATGACCTATGATCCTGAACATCAACGATGTGATTTATCAAAAAATATTGAATGTAAAGATGGTGAAAGACCAAGTTGGACACCACCCGAAGGATGTATATAGTATTTATTTATTATTATATTTAAATTGATTTAATTTGAAATCTTAAGGGGGACAAAGTGAAAGTGTAACAAATTATGTTATAACAAAAACAACAACATTGTCTCATGATAATAATGATGATGATGATGTTGATGTTGAAATAAAAAAGAAGACACGAGTATCAAAATATCGTAAAGTAACAACTAAATTAACAACTATTTCAACAAAATTAGTACGAAATCGAGTAACATTATCTATGTCTGAACTTATGGAAAATAATGCTTGTACATTTCAAGGCAATATGCCTGATCCAAATAATTGTCAATGTAATTATTTGAATAGAATTCTTTATTTATTTATTTATTTACTTTTTCTTTTTCCAAGCTTATTATACATGTCGAGATGATGTTATAAAACGTATTCGTTGTCCAGAAAAACAATTATTTGATGAAGATGCACGAATATGTAGTGATTATCGAAAAGTTTTTTGTGGAAATCGACCAATAAATGAACGTGATAATGATCCATGTAAAATTTATGTTTTCAATCAAAAAAAAAGAAATATTTCTTAAGTGTTCGTTGTTGTTGTTTTTTTTATATATATATATAGGTCTTGGTCAACAAAATGGATGGTATGCTGATAATGAAAATCAATGTCGTACATATTATTTATGTACAGAACAACGTAAAACTAAAATGGGTGAATGTTCATTAGGTTCAAAATGGAATTCACAAAAAGTTCGATGTGATGATCCAAGAAATATAATTGCACCATGTAAAAATTTCTTTTGATTAATTATTGAAAATTTTTCATTTTTTTTTTAAGGTGGACTTCGTAGTAATAATGGAATTTTATTGTTTTCTCAATATTATTCTATTATAGTTATAATTTTTTCTATTTTTTTCTTCTTATTAACATTACCATGAATTGTTTTATGTCATATATATATATATAATAATAAAACATAATTTAGTGACGAATGTTGTTGATGTTTGTTTAGTAAATGATAGAAAATAAAAGTAAAGCATACAGTGAGTATATTCGATGTATCTGTGGTCTCTGTATTTATGCAGAACAATGATATTTGTCTATTTATTTCTATTTCCGAGTTATGTTGTTGTTGTTGTTGTTGTCTAGCATGATGAGATTGTTTTTGCGTCATATTTTTAAATGCATATGTGAGAAAAAAAAAATAAGAAGATTAGTTTTCATGGTTCGATTCATTTTCACACATTGACATAATGTCAATTGACATTTATCATTGTGTTTTTTTTTTTCTCTTCATTTCAATTATAAAAACTTGCAATCAATCTTATCATGATTAGTTTGATAACATTTTTTGTGTAAGTTAATAATACTATGAGCAAAGAAAAATAAAATAACTTTCTACATTTTCTTATCAATAAAATTCTGAAATTTGAAGAGCAATTTATCTCATTTTTATTTTATTTATCTATGTATATGTTGTGATGATTTTGATTTTTTCCTGTTAGACAAATGAATATTTATATTTCTAATATATAATAAAAATATGATATTCATATCAGGCTCTATTTTTCATATTTTTACATATATTATTCGAGACAGTACTATGTTTTCCTTCAAAACATTCTATATCTCTTAAATTGCATGACAAAAAAAACAACAAGATTCTGTTGAAGATATATAATGAGATACACATTCACTAGTTGCATAGCTTAACGAACTATTTATCTCGTGTAAATTCCATTAAAAGAATAGGAGAAAAAAAAAGAAAGAAAGTTGATTATAACAATGACTATTCTTTTCTTTTTCTGAAAAAAAAAAAATCTTTTATAATCTATTTTTTTCTCTCCGAGAATTGCATTAATATTGACGTCATAACATTTTTCAATAGGTGAAATGAGAAGAGCATGACGATAATCAAAATATGTCGTAGCATTTTCCATAAGATTCAACGTAAAAAAAAGTATGTATTAGTATCAAATTACAGTTTATTCAGGGGGAAGAGAAGGAGAAAAGCGAAAATTTCGTACTTCAACGTGCTCTAAGAGTATATTAACGCTATGGTTTAGAACTTTTCAGCTATTTCAAGTCTACTATCAACGTGTGTCACAAGTATATTAGTTTGAGTTTATTTTATATAAGTCTGTATAGTAATAAAGCCTAAGTACTTCATCGAACTTCGACTTTATTATCAGAGAAACTTATATAAAATGAATTTGAATTAATATACTCATCACATACGTTGATATTAGACTTGAAATAGATAAAAAAATTCTCAAGGATAGGTTAACATACTCTTAGTGTAAACTGAAGTATGGAATTTGTGCTTTTTCTTCCTTTAGTTGATTACATACACAATGAGATTATATAGTATTACACATTGTATTGTTATTCCATGTATAAAACAGTAAAGAATAAGTACTATACGACGAATAGAAAAAGAACAGCTGATGATAAAACCTTCTAGTTCGTCCTATTCTGTGAATCATCATATATCTGTCATATTGTAAGAAAAGTAATAAATTTCTTGTTCTTCTTTTTGCTTTAGCTGTTGATGGTCCGATGCTTAACCTCATATTCTTGTCAAGGAAATTGACTAAATACATACATCTAATGAAATATATTACGTCTTTTATTTACTTTAGTTAAAATAATATTCGATTAATTGTGAAATACAATGAATCGAAATGATGATAATAGTAATGGTACTATTATCAATTCTTCAACAACAAAATCTAAAAACACAATATGTCAATCAGGAAAAATAATTTTTCTACTTATATGTTTATGTAATATGATTCAAAATGCTATTGTTGGTGGTGCAAATAATGCTATAATGACAACACTTGAATCTGGTTTTTATATGACATCAACAGAAACAGGTTTATTTCAATCTGTTTTTGAACTTATTGCTATATTTTCATATCCAATAATTGGTTATTTTGGTGATCGTAGTGGTAGAAAAGTACGTTGGATAGCTATATCAATGGGTATATTATCTATTGGTTTTCTTGTTATGTCATTTCCACATTTACTTGAATCAAAACGTGGTAAACCACCATTAGATTCACATGTAGCAGATCATTTAACATTATGTAATCGAAATCGAACAATAAGTGTTTGTTTAGTTTCGAATAATCTTAGATTTTTAAGTCATTTAAAATATGTTTTTTATTTATCAAATGTTATTAATGCATGTGGATCAGCTGCTTTACCAACATTAGCTGTAACATTAATTGAAGATTTATTTTCACAAGAAAAAGCACCTATAGCTCAAGGTAGATTATTTTAATTGATATAACAATTAATACAAAAATTTTTATTTTTTGTCAGGCATCTATTATGCAGTTGGTGGAATTGGTATTGGTCTTGGATTTCTTGCTACTTCACAATTTCTTAAAGTTTATACATATATAAAAAAACCTGTTTGGTTAACACCAAATTATTCTGAATGGGTTGGAGCTTGGTGGCTTGTTTATGCATTAGGTACATGTCTAAGTTTGATTATTTGTTTTATTCTATTTTTATTTGACATTCGTCGATGTCAATGTTATTTTTCATCAAAAAAAACAAAACAATCTATAGTAAATCCAACATATATTTTAAATACAAAAACAATAATTGATGAAACTCATATATCACATACAAGTTCAACAATAAGAAATTTTAGTTTAGGTATAAATAGTATACCAAATGGATCATTATTTATAATAGAACAACCAATAATAATTGAAGAAGAATCATTAAAATCAAAAGATATTTTTTTTGATATATTATCATTAATAAAATATTTATTATTTAATTTATGTTATATGGGTATTACTGGTTGTGCTGTTATTGAAGCTTTATTAATAAAAGGTTATTTAGCTTTTTTAAGTAAACATATTGAATATCAATTTCGTACAACATCATCACATTCAAGTGTTTATATGGGAATTATTTCATTATTTTCAGTTATATTTGGTACACCATTAGGTGCTTATTTTGTCAAAAGATTTAATATGAATGGTCGACAATGTGCAAAATTTTGTTGTATTATTCTTGCTACATCATCTGTGATATTTCTTGGTTTAATGCTTCATTGTCGTGAACCAACAATTGGTATAATTGATTAGACTTTTTTGTTTTTGTTTAAAGAAATATAAGATTAATAAATTTCATAGGAACAACACATTCCATGCCTGTTATATCAACAGCATTTGACACAGATTTTTTTAATGAACCTTTAATTGAATCAGATCGAAATGAAAGTCCATGCAAACGAAAATGCAGTAAGAATAAAAAAAACTTCTTTTTTTTTTTTTTGTTTTTTAATTTGATTTTATTTATTTATTTAAGAATGCGATATGAATATTTATCAACCAGTTTGTGATTTAGCTAAACAAGAAACGTATCAAAATCCATGTTTATTAGGTTGTCGAAAAATACTTAAAGGGCAATATGCTGATTGTTTATGTTTACCAGAAAATAGTACTGTCAGTGTTGGTAAGAAATTATACATGAATATTTGAAGTTTAACTCGTCGAGATCGAAATTATATGATAATAACCATTTTGATTCAAAAGACAAAAGACTTTTTAATGTCTTTTGTTGATCGTAACTCAGTAAACTTTAGAGGTCGTACAACATTATTATCTTCAAGTCTCGGAACAGAATTTTCTTGTAAAGGAAAATGACATGTCAAACAACCATCATGTTGATGCCAAGGGCTTGAAGATATGCAGAGACAACAAATTCTATGATCTTTTGAGTGATGAAAGACCGTATACTAAGCTTTAGTTGCAAATAAAAATATCAAGAATTAGTTATATATTTGATAAAAAGTAACACAAAATGTAATACTTTAGTCTACTACTACTATAGCTAAAACAATTCGATCCGATGACCTTTCGAAAAGGTGTTATGATTGTGAAGTAAATGAAGTATCATAATGAAATCTGATATCTTTGAAAAATTGTGAAATATTGCTCTCATTTTTTGTTGAAATCAAGATATTAAACGTAAGTATGAAGAAAATTGATTATCTCGGTTATGTTATAATTGATCGAATGTTCTTATTCGAAAATTTGATTTGTACTTTTAATAAAATTTGTTCGATTCAAATTCAGAATGATTCTATTAGAATATTTATGATGTGAATGTAATAAAGTAGAGTTTTATTCTGTATTTTTATATCTACAAATCAATTGAAAATGTCTTTTAGAATAACATGATTAGTAATCGAAAAAAAAAGCTCGATTAAATTTATTAGGTAGATCGTATGTTGGTTTACGAGAGAACATTCACAATAGTCCAATCGATTTCCACCAGTCGATCGGTCATGATGATGAGTAAGAAAGTCTTTTTCCGATCTTCACTTTTCCAATTATGAGAGATTTATTCAATTTTTGTCCTATGAGTATAAGATTGCTGAGTGCTAGGATGATCGAATATCTTTTTTAATAATCCATCAGTTAGATTTCGCAAATACTGAACCATTGAATCTGATGAGTACAAATCGTTAATTCAGAAGAATAATAAATTTAATCTATAGAATTTCTTAAAATCAAATTTATCTTTTAATTTTAAATAAGGTCGATGTAAAGAACGTAAATGTACAATTAATTTAGTACTTACATTATGTGGTGCATTTATTGTTATATTTATGTCTTGTTGTGTTATTATTCCAGCTCTTAAATGTATATTAGATAGTGTTGAAACAACACATCGAGCATTTTCACTTGGTTTTAAAGCAACAATAACAAAATTATTTGGTTATCTACCAGGAACAATTTTATTTGGTACAATTATTGATCGAACATGTAAAACATGGATACGTGAAACATGTGGATATAAATATCAATGCAAACATTATCATAATAAACGTATGGCTATATCATTAGCATTACTTGGATTTGGTTTTCGAAGTTTATCAGCTTTATTATGTGGATTATCTTGGTATTCTTATAGTAAAATGTCTGATAAAAAACAAGAAAATAAATCACAAATTATTACAACAACAACAATAAGTACGATAACAAGTGTTGAAATATAAAAAATAAAAAAATAAATTATACAAAATAATCAAATAAATTTTTCTAGTCATTTCTGTTAAAATTCTTTTTTTATTTTGTGTTTATGAATTAGATCTATATAATTTTATATAATCAATGAATATATTTGTTGGTGTATTTGTGTGTATGATTTCAAATGTTATTAATAATTTATTGCAATAGAAAACAGTAAAATAAATTTTCAACGAAATTGAAATTAAAACAAAAAAACAGACATTGTGACCTTGCTATTCTTTTTGTTGATTAGTAGACTTGTTTACCTTTAACTTTTTTCAATTAAAAGATAACCTTTCAAATGCAAATGCATAGTTTTATGACAATAAATCAGTATTTAAACACATATAAAACTACTGACATCCGTCGTTTGAGTTCCTATTAAATCCACAGGTAGATCTCAATGAGAATAGCAAAAATCTAAAAGAGTTCATCTCCATTGGCTTCAAGTGCCAAGTTATGATCAATTTACTGGATTTTGTAACCTATTTTAGGTATTCCGCAGAAGATCGAATAAAAGAATTTTGTCTATAGAAGATAGGTTCAATGACTGTTAGAATATCTTAAAACTTTCAGCCGAAAAAAAAATGTTCCTTCATCGAGTTATTGAATTTCTAAAAATAGTCCTTTGTCACAAAAATCGAGTTCATTAGAAACTTCAATAACTCAACGAAGAAACATTCCTTTCGGAATTTTCTAATAGTCATTAGACCTATCTATAGACAAAATTCTGGATCAAATCTTCGTTATT